GCTGAGGTGGAGCCACGACTTGGCTTATCTTCCTAGAATGAAACTATTCCGACAAGATTATTCCTCATCCTCGCTTATGTGGCGTTCAGCGAAATGGAGTCAACGAAATTGTTGTGCGAGGTGGGCCCTCAAAAACAGACAACACAGCAATCCTGTCGAATCGTTTGAACAAGTAGAACTCAATTGATGCAAATGATGATAATGCCACAGGAGTTTGCACGGGCTGCTGACGCATCATTAGCAGTTTAGCGGCCACTGAGTAGCCGTGCAGCTACCAGACCAAAGCAGCAATCAATTAAGTCATCTTTTAATCACCCACCCCCGACTCCCAAGGAAATTGCCAGTCCATGAAAAGCATGTTTGAACCGTTTTGTGGTAGAAAAAAGATCAGGGACCGCTGCTTTAACGCACATAAAAACGAACGTGGTTGAATGTCCACCGGCTTTGCATTAGTGTTGCAACTGAGACCCCACCCTGGGATCACAGAGCGTTGGCCATTTCTACGCTGAAGTGACGTTTACTCAGCATAAACTTATGAGCATACGTCGCAGTTGACACCAATAATACACGCGTCATCAAACCAAAGCGTTTAACAAGCAGCGACAATCACGTTTCATCAAGACACGTTCAGCCATGAGCTTGATCCCATTTAAAGAGAGAAGATAAATGGATGAATGGAGAAGAATGAGAACAATGCCGGCCATCAATAGGGCAGAAAGGTCATCAAATAGACTCTGTTGGGACATCTGCGTACCGGGTGGACACACAGGCACATGATCTTTCATTCACAGAACCACATTTACACAATGTCCTACACGGCTTGTACGATTGGGTTAAGGTTTTGAACGTAAAACATTTCGCGGTGAATCTTTGGTTTCACCCACTAGCTGTGAAACATGATCTCAGGGTTTTCCCTACACATGTGCTCCAAGTTTTCCTTGCTCACTTATGTATGTGATGGCTCACTGACAACTCGAGTGAGGTTGGCCACAAAAGCTTCAAGTCGCTGTCATGCACTTCAGAATGTTGTCATCTCCTAAAGCGGAGAGAAATACCATCATGCATAGAATGATTTGCCTTGGATGCATTTCAACATAAATGCAATCCATTGACTGAGTCAGGGCGTCCGTCCCCAGCATTAGCGTGTAATAATCTTTTTCTGTAACTTTAAAGATGCTGATTCACTGAGCAGAACTGCCAGGAATTAAGAATTGGAAGTCCTCAACCTAATTACCTCCTTACCGTACCTGAACCTGTGTGATTTCATAGTTTGTGCGTGACAACAACTTCTTGGGAGTGTTAAAACTAAGAATTGTGCGACATCGATTCGTCGCAGCAATTGAGGCAAAATTGTTTGCTGTGAAACGAGCACAGGGCCTGGAGATTCTGTCTCAACTAGTTTGCAATATGAAGAAGCAGAACATGGCAACAGTTGTGCAAAACTTGAAGACCAGCAGTGAAAGCAATTCGAGAGCTAAATATTGACAACGATCTACTTCAAGAGTGAGTGCAGGTGAGGTGATGAACTTTCTGTCAGTGTGCGATATCCTGATTTGCCACATTAAGGTCAAACATGCCCGTGCTGAAGGTAGCAAGTGTTGCTACACATAATGATGACAAAAGATGCTTTGTAAAAAGCAGCAATAGCAGTCAGACATTGAGAATTTTACGTACATTTTAGCAATCAAACAAATCGATCAATCAGCAAAATTAATTGGTAACTACATACAAATATATGCCTGTTTCTTTTAAGGCATTTATGGTGCCGTTACGTAACTTTAAAAATTCAATAACTCATTCAATCACGGGCTTTTTCATGGGAGCAAACCCTTCGATCCCAGCCCGTTTTACTGGATTTGAACTGATTTGCAAGGCGCACAGATTATTGTGTTCTATTGCGATATAAACATGCAGACTACCAAAAGAAAGATGAGACTCTCTTCTTTCAGCTGAACAAAAGTCCGTTCCTATCTTTTTCCATTCTTTAGCAATTAAGACTTTGCTTCTACAAAACAACAGAAACGCCACCACAAAAGGGCTTTTGATAGCAAAAATATTTATCTGCAGTGTATTCAGCTGCGGTTCCTCGAGAGCCATATTCTGCCTGTTTTAGACCTCTCCCTACTCCAACATACCTGATTCAATTGATTATGATTGTTTCAGGCTTCGACAGAGCTTGCTGACGAGCTGATCGGGTTTTTTTCCCCACCAAAATTTTAAGGCAGTTGTGTGGTGTGCTGCAATGACTTTTAAGCAGCCGAGGTTGCTTTTCATTCTACACAACCGTCATCGTGTCTTTTAATTTGCAGCATAGAGTTGAGATAGAAGAGACAAAATCCCCCATTCTGCTCCTTGGTTGCAACTTGTTAACGCCAACTGATGTCTTTAAAAATACAAGAGCAGTTTCCCGCCAAAACTTATGGTGTCTTCTTTTGTTGCGGAAAAAAAACAACTACTGAACTCCAAACCGAGGCGGGTAGCGCCAAGTTCACTCATTGCAAGCACAGTACGTACCATGTAGTAGGAACGGGTCTATAATGTTGTGGCTGGTCAGCGTACATCGACCAAGAATGCTTCATCTGTGAGGATGAGCAGTTGGTGTGCATAAATGAAGTATTTCTTGACGAAGGACTCCAAAGTACAGCCCTGGCTCATGAGAGTGTTTTCGTCATCTTTAGAAGTTTTTGTGGCAAGGGTACATTTGGACAATTTGGTCATCTGTACATAACACAAAAAAAAAATGATGAGAATAAATAAGAAGAAGAACAATAATGCAAGAGTGCTGATTGATTACAACGGGGTCCTCAGTTTGCAACGTCCCAACATTGAGGTTACTAATGGAGAAAGAATATGCAGACCATAAAAAGGCAGACTCAGTTACCAGTGATAAGTACTGTTTGTCCATTTGCTTCATATTGACTTGAGGATTTTTCAACCAAATATTTACTGAATTATGACACAAATATTACAAACTCAGCTGATTGCCATAACTACTGTTTATTTGATTACGTTATTGATGACCGGGACGTGGTTTTCATACAACTATTTACTAAATGATGCCATTGTGAGGTTACAAATGGTGCGCAATGAACTAGTTTCTGCAGCAGTGCAAGAACACGTCATCATGCAGCACAAGAGCGTACATTCAGTTACTACCGCACTTACTGAGTTGATTTAAATGTTTTATATTGGGGGCGAGGCGGGGCTAGAAGTACTTGTCAACCAAACAATAGCACATTTTTGAAATATGGAGGTTATGTAATAGACTCCTTGCTGCACAGGTGCAAGAATATGTTATCACGCGTCACATGGAAAAACAGTTATCAGCGTACAGTAGTTACTGCGTTTCCATACAACTCTTTGTTAATGGCAGCTCAGAACTATTTCTCCTTCAAATACTTGATGGATTATGACATTTCAGGGCTTACAAGAATACTTACAGCCAAAAATGTTTTTTTCATGTAATTATGACTTACTAAAACATTTGTGCAGAGTAGGGTGCATTCTGAAAGACGATCAAATTTGGGTTTTGTTGTTGCAATAGGAACAGAACTACATGCTAAACTACTGTAAAGATGTAGATCTTTATTTATCAAATCCATTCGGGTTTGACACTCCAAAAACAAATGTACACTTCCACAAGCAGACGAAAACATTTGACAGTTATAAACTGACCATAACTCTGATTAACTCATTCACTGCCAATGACACATTTCTGTATTTTAAGAATCCAGAAATTGAATCTGTGCTACATATTTGCTTTTTTTTTGCCCCACATGGTAGCGTAAAAGGAAGGTCTGAAAACGGCTGGCAGTTTAAATGTAAAAGGCTGCAACAACAAAAAGTGACTACATTATTAACAACCCTGTGTTGCCTTCAATAAGAAGAAATTGCACAGGTGACAGGTATAGCACATACATTGCCACCACAAGAATAACAACCGCAACAAATCAGTATACTGTATACACATACAAAAACCACACTTCAAGCAGTGTTAGAGCGCCACTGTTGATGCTTGACTCAGTGAGTGTTGTTATGGCAACAGGCTACTCAGCTGATCACTTGGTTATTCGTGAGCCCAATGAAGAAAGCCTAAAAGGTGCGGTGTGAGAGTGCATCGCCTTCCCTGAATTAAAAGAAAGCGATAAAAAAAATGTCATTATTTTAACTTCAGCGCATTTCATCGACATATTAGCTTGAATGTGAGGTCCAATTCCAGGCTGGAAAAGAGTTTGTTGCCCTAATGTCGCTGATCGGTGAAATAAAGCTTATCTTAGACAGAAGCATTAATCCCCACAAGCACAGACGCTTAATGACAAACTGCAGCCAAGAATGTACCTGCCCGTCCTAGTTCATTACACGTTATCACCAGGTCGACTTACAGTTGCCGATTGAAGAGGCAAGATAATGTTCCTGGACGGAGACGTTTCAATTACATTTTATGCTCAATTCTGACATTCAAGCCTCCGCTTGAAGCCAGGTCACTCGCGGGCAACCACAGCCAAGTCGCTGTTCATCTTTTCCTCTCTCGGACATTGAACAAACTCAAAACTAACACAGGTTTACGTTGAGCCAAACGGAGTCAACTAGAAAATTATGTGTTTTTCGAGGAAAACACTCTCTCACACACACACACACACACACACACACACACACACACACACACACACACACACACACACACGACAGGCCTTGTCGTGACGGAGAACAGCAGCCTTAGCATGTACGATCACGAAATCGATTAATTGTTATCTTAGCGAGCCTACTCTCAACCAAACAAACGAAAACGTGTCCACTTGCTATAAGTAACGAGTTCGTCTGAATGCGACAATTAAAATGGTAATTTAACTAGTGAAACCCGCAAACAAGTTAGCAACACGGCTATCTTATGTTAGCCCCCCCCCCCCGAGCTAATGGAAGGGAAGCTAACGCTGTTGTTTTGACCACAAACACACTCGCTGCAAACGTCCTCTCGCCATTAATGGCACGGCCCAGCTTACCTCGAAAGAAATATCCTTGACTTCAACGCGGGTAAAACGGCGTATACGCAGAGAGGAGCTTGACAGTGGCTCGGTGTAGTCCGTCTTTCCTTGGTTAGCAGCAGGGGCACACATTCGCAAATTTTCGTGAAGCAGAGCCGAGACGCCAGGCGCTAATAGTAGCAACGAGCAGCCACTCGGGCTCGCGCACGGTTGTTGAAGTTTGCCTCGGGAGCGCGCCCTTACTCAGCTTCTACCCGCAAGCTCTCACAGTACGTCCTGTGCCTTCAACAGGCAAGGGAGGCGAATTTATTTGTTTTTAATCACCGATCGTGAGGCACATTATCCGTGATTGACTAAAACACAGAAATAAGCATAAAAAACAAGATTAAAAGAAAAGGGGAAACTCAAGACAAAAAGCAGGATAAATGAAAATATACAACAATGCAGTAAAATGACAAGACATAAAGATTGTCAATTTTGAAATCATAAAACAAAAGCAACATTACGAAAACAAAAAATTATATTTTCACAATCTTTGAAATTCACACTTTCTCACATCAAAAGTGCCTTGATTCATTCATACAGGATCATCAGAATCATCTTTATTGCCCCGTCACTGTATGTTACACACAATCAATTTGGTTCAGATTGTTGAAGTTTGTCGTGTGCAATACTGTATTTGGTATTGATATTATACAAATGTGACACAAGTGAGCAGTGCTGGACTGGCCATTTGTCTTAAAGGGCACATGCCCGATGGGCTGATTGTATTTAGTGCCAAATGTGGTGTTATTTGATTTTTATATTCCTCCATTTTCCCCCAAGAGTTAGGGCAAGGCAGTTTTTTTGTATAGCTGATTTCATACACAAGGCAACTCAGTGTGCTTCACATGAGCAAAAACACCACACCTACAATGCTACATATAGCAGTGTGTCATCTGCATAACCGTGATAGCCAACATTGACTTTCTGAAGCATTTGACACAAAGATAACATACACATACAGAACAGAAGGGGTCCGAGGACTGACCCTTGTGGCACTCCCATGTCTGATTCAAAACTTCCAATAGTCACAAAGTAACTCAGTTCCTCTAAGTAAGACCTAAACCATTTCATGACAGTTCCATTTATTCTCACCCAAGTTTCCAACCTGTTCGATGTATGTTCGACAGTATGTTATGATCACTTGAATCAAATGCTGCATTGAAATCCAGTAAGAGTAGCACCTACACAATCCCTGTGTCAGTGTTCAACCTTATATCATTTAGTACTTTAGCAAGAGTTATTTCCATACTGTGATAAGGTCGAAATCCTGATTGGAATTTATCAGAAAGTTCGTTGGAGTTCAAGAATTTGCTGAGTTGATTAAAAAACACTTTATCGTCAAACCTGGATAAAAAAGGGAAGGTTTGAGATTGGTCTATAATTTATTAACAAGGAGACATCAAGCATTCTCTTTTTTAGAAGTGGCTTGATGGCGGCTACTTTAAGGAGTTTAGGAAACGTGCCTGTCTAAAATGAGCCATTGATTATTTTCTCTAACTCAGTGAGAACGGATTTCACAATAGTTTTGAAAAAGTCAGATGTTAATGAGTCAAGACAGCTAGTTGATGGTTTCAACTGGTGAAGCAAATCTGTTAAAGTTTTTTGATCAACTGTATCAAAGTCTCTCGTGGTAATTTCATTATTCCTGGGTGATTTTATGCGCTGCATCATTTTGTAATTTTGCTGGCTTGCGATGATGTTTGACCTGATGGATTGTACTTTTTCACTAAAATTGCAGGAAAATTAATTGCATTTATCTGTTGAGAGGAGTTCTGGCACTATTTGATTTGGGGGATTTATGAGTTTGTCCACCACAGCAAATAGCGTGCGTGTATTGTTTAGGTTCAACTAATGAAAAGTGTTGTGTCACTTTTAGTAGCTCTTTGTTAAAGTTACAAAACATTGTGTGTTTTGGTCAAAATGAGTTAGTTTTTCTCCACTTATGCTCTGCTTTCCTCCACTTTGATTTCAAAGTCATTACGTTTGTAGTGCACCTCCAGGGTGTTTTAGGTCAACGTGAAATGGTCTTAGTTTTAAAAGGAGCAACAGCATTCAGGACATTTGAGATTTTCCAGGTGAATTCGTCCAGAAGTTCATCGACAGTCTCTGCATTCACAGATTTTCACAAACATATTGCTTGTGTTCTCATTTATATATATCCACTTATGCTCTGCTTTCCTCCACTTTGATTTCAAAGTCATTACGTTTGTAGTGCACCTCCAGGGTGTTTTAGGTCAACGTGAAATGGTCTTAGTTTTAAAAGGAGCAACAGCATTCAGGACATTTGAGATTTTCCAGGTGAATTCGTCCAGAAGTTCATCGACAGTCTCTGCATTCACAGATTTTCACAAACATATTGCTTGTGTTCTCATTTATATATATCTTTTTTTAATAGACACAGTGATTGTCCGAACTTTTAGGATTATTTGTAGCAAGTATTGTATAAAGTACTTTGGTATTTTTATCCAAATTGTTCTCAACATGAATGGTACAGTCTCCGGTTATGACCCGGCCGTCATAGTCAGTACAGATTACTTTCTTCAAATTCCTCCATAGATTTCCCTTTTTGTCTTGGTGGTCTATAAATGATTACAACAGTAATGTTTAGATCACCTTTTATTAAAAGACTGAGAAACTGTATTCAAATGAATTAAAATCACCCAAATAAATGTCTTTACACTGAAACAATGACTTAAAAATGGCAGCAATTCTGCCGTGTTTTTTGCAACTGTAAAATTTACTCTGAAAATTAGAATTCCTTGATGTTGCCTCATTCATACTAGTGTTTTGACAACCTTCTGTTCGACATGTTTTGCTGAGGAGAAAGAAGTCAAGGCCATAGGTCATAATGTTGTCATTAATTAATTAAACAATAGTGCTTTGTGAACTAGTGATCTAATCTTGCAGTGATAACGGGAGACGCTTTTTCAGAGGCTGACAAGATAACCTCATGAGGTTATTTCTTTCTGACTAGCTGACTTTCTGTCACTGGTAATCACTGGAATACCACAAGCTTCGTTAGCTTCATCGGGTGCTGATTTATTCTAGGGACAAACATAGCGGGTATTCATTCAGTCTGGGCCCAGAACATATCAGACCGGACGGGAGTTAAATTTCTTCACAAGCAAAGAGGGAGATGGGTAGGTAGGTGGCTGTTTGCTGAGTCTTGGTGCAGTCAAACGTTTGGTAGATGGCAGTTTGGTGAGTCTTGGGGTGGGTGTGGTCGAATGGTGATTAGGAGTCAGAGGTGAAAAAATGGGAAATGGAAGTGGTGTGAGATGAATTAAAATATGGACAAGCTTGTTCATCTCGTAGGTGATCTCTGGGAGGGAGTCATCCATAGACGATGGATTTGTGCAGTTAGAGCTGAGTCATCGTTCGGGGGCGATGTACAGTCCAGGGGTGGGTCTAGCAGTGTGAAGATGGCTTCAAAGTTTGGGTTGAATCCAGCAGTGGATATGGCACAGTAGGTTGGGCCGATGAGGACAAATCAGTGTGTTCTGGATGCAAGGGTGTGAGGGGGATTGAGCTTCATTGTGTGCTTGTTGATCCTTCGGAGTCGAGGCAGAATCTCGTCTTATCTGTTAGTGCGGATACCCATGGCCTTTGCAGTAATTTGATCCCCTGAATGAATGAATATATGAATTATAACCAATCTGACAATCGAATGCTCAGTAGCGGGTCTCGACTTTTTCATAAAAATCAGAAACCACGTCGTTAGCAAAACATAGAACCTTTGTGTGCTTTCTGCTACATAGACACAACATTTGACCCCAAATAAGGGTCTGCCACATATTATTAGTGTTTGTGACCAAGTAGCTGATCTGAGTAGTTGAGAGGGTCCACTTTCATAGGTGCTGTGATCCACCAAAGCTTCCCGGTCAGATGACAGTAAAGCAAACCTGTTCCTCTGTTCAATGCCGGTGTTTTGTTTTCATTGCCCGTAAGTTAGTTTCCTTTCTTGTGCCAGTGCCAAAGTCCAAGACTGTCATCTTGGTGTTGACGCGACCTCTTGCAGAGCTGATGGGATTCCGGGGACTCACATACTGTCGTACTAGGGTTCTTGGCTAAAGCCTCAAAATCAGGGTAATCTGATGTTAATGTTTATTGTGGTCATTTCCAACTGTTTGTTCTCCAATGTTACAATGGTGCAATGTTAACAACTGTGTTTGTGTTTGAGCAATTGTCAGTTGTTTACCCATATGGTCACCCATACGGTATATAGGGGTGGGACAAAATTGTCCATTCCAATTCAGCAGTGATACAGCTGTGGCCCACTTTACTAGGTTATTTAATTTCACACAAATGATAGGGAACCATTCCAGAGAGGTAATTTAGTAGTGTTTCCTTACGTTTTATCCATCCATTTTCTATTGCTACTGCCCTCATTTGAGAACTAGAAGCTCCCACATTGGAGTCTACAGGAGAGGAGGGGTGCACTTTGCACTGGTCATCAGTCAACGGCAGGGTAGGTAGACGCAAGCTATGGAGAATTTGACGATTCATTAAACCTAATATGCATGTGTTTGCCGTAGAACACAGGGAACATTGGAAGAACATGCAAAGTCCACAAAGGTAGAACCTGCAATAGCACACTGCACACCTTTTGTTTGAAACTGACTTTTTCTTTAAAAAAAAAAAAAAAAAAAAAAAGGGGGGGGGTTGCAAATAGTAGAAGGTGGTTATGAAAGCGTGTTGGATGGTACAGAACGGTAACTCGGGAGGCAGGTCAATACTTGTGTTGCACTGCAGGTTATGAATAATAATTAAATGAGTAGAAAATGGAAGTAGAGGGGTGCACTTTGCACTGGTCATCATTCAACGGCAGGGTAGGTAGACGCAAGATATGGAGAACTTTGAGGATTCACAGGTAATGAATAATAATTAAATGAGTAGAAAATGGAAGTAGTAGGGGGAGAAATTAGCCTGTGTGGGACTTGGGGGGGGGCAAAAAAAAAAAAGTCTTAAGCTGTTCTGGCATGCTGGAATTTGACTTTCTTCAAGGACAAAACAGGACATGTATTGTTTTAGACAGTTTTAATCCCCAAGAAAATGAAGAAAAGAGTGAACAAAAGCCACAGAGGTTTTGAACAGGATGCATGTACAGAGGACACATGGAGTGGCTGAGGTTACAAGAAACATGAGGGAGAAAGGTGAGGCAGCCGCTGTTCCCACTGCCATCAGCAAATTCCACACATAACTCTGCTTGGCAGCCGACTCTCATCCAAGATGGGACACAAATTCTTGATTCTGGCTCTCTTTGGCACCTTGCAGAGGTTTGATGAATTGCTTATGGAGAACATGGTCCAAATTATAGTTGAGGCCCTTAAACCAAAGCGAGGGGAGTTGCTCTGGAGAAATACAGCAGAAAGAATGCCCCTGAAGTCGAACAGTTCTGCATTTGATCAATACCCATCTATTCATTCATTTTCTATCCTGGTAAGAGTTCCGGGTGAGCTGAGCGTACCTCAGCTGATTTAGGGCAAGAGGCAGTTACAGTTTGGGCTGGTCGGCAGCCAATCGCAGGGCATACAGTGACAGGCAAATAGCATAATAACCTTCTTTAAGGTTTATTCAGACAATGGTCTTTTAATACACATCGCCAGGAAGCAGTGACAGCTCAGATGAAGTGACAGCCGAAACTGTCAGCTTGGGAAGAGTTTTTCTCTTCACTAAAAAAAGGACCATTGTCTGTGAAAAATGAAACCTTAAACCGAAGAGAAACAAATGCTCATACTCATTTGAGCATTCTCAAGCAAGACCTCCACAAGTATGTTTTTGATTTTCTTTTTTCTCTGATGCCACCACAGAAAAGTAGCAGTGATGTCAAAGGGGAAATATGGGCTGACCATATAATTTAACTTATTGCAAACCAGGAAAGTAGAACAGAGGACTTTCTTGGTTGCTCACTAAAATATGGCTACAGCATCAAATAAATGAATAACAACGATTCAAGAACAGAATGCATATCTGAAAGTTTAAGTTTTAAAGATTAGTCCTTGTGTGAACACTCTTAAAACTGCTTAGTTAAAACAAATTGGGTGACGTAACCTAGAACTAGCCAATATTGGGCTAATTATACCCAGTGCAATGAGTGGAGGATTTGACTCAGCACACTTTTTTTAAAATCCAAAACTACCCATACTACCAATATATGGGTTACCAGGTGACGTATTGGTATGTTACAGTTTGGCTGACAGACAGAGAATGCACCACCATGCAATATTTGAGAGCGGTGACACGGGCTTTATTCCAACAAGTAATACTGGTAAACAAGATAACGGCATCAAAACATTGACGCCAGAACAAAAACAAGTGGAATTACTCACCAACAAAAGGTGGTGGACAAAGTCACAGAGAAAGGTAACAATGGAGCAGTGTAAAAAGGTATTTACAAAAACAAAACAGAAAATCACTTTAAGAGAAACAAAAACCTGAAGTACTTCTTGTACGCTGATGAGAGATAAAAAAGGAAACAGAAAATCACAAAGGAACTTAATTACTGGAACAACAACGAATCTGGCAGAAACACAAACCAGTGGGACAGTCAGCAAAACAATACTCCAGCACCTTCCTTCATGTGCAGCAGAATTTAAATACTATCCCCTGCTGAGTAGGGAGGGACAGGTGGATCTGAGTGATTGCAATAGCTGCAGTTTAGTGACTCTGCCCACCACTTAGCCAGGATGGACTGTGGACAGAGAACACATTACCAGGAGGCCATAAACACAGGGCATGACATCGTGTAGTTGTGGTTACAAATAACGCATATTTTATGACCAATATTTTCTAAGAAGACACAACCCACCCATTTTCTGTGGTTGGGCTGTCAATCCGGACCCACATTTCAACCCCAAACACTTACCCAAGTCAGCAATGTTACCGAATGAGCCATCCAGCCATCATCGTTTCTTTAGAATGTCACATTAAATTTAGTTCAACAAAGAACACAACGCAAATACAGAATCCGGTTTCAGCTCTACTGCACATCCAAATTCAATCTTCAACCCAGTCTACTGGGACAAAATAATTAACCCAACCTTTGTTAAAAGTAACCCAATCTGCTCAAAATGCGCAGCTACCCAGCAAATGGATTGGGAAAACAACCCTGCATGTTTTACTATGAAGAGAATAACCTCTCAAGACAAAGTATTCATCTCCCTCTATACATTTGCCACCCAAACGTTAAGCCTAAAACTAAAATTAATTGTTTTCTTTTCTTTTTTTTTTTAAGTTGGATCACTCTCTTTTTAGACAGTTACGGGTGTTTTCAAAGCATGAAGTCGAAGTTTGCAACACTCTTAAGTCTCCATCCCGCATCATAAATATTAAGGCTATGTACATACTCCAAGCGAATAATTTGTTTTTACATTTAAGCATTTAAGTTAGAAATGTTCAAATGTTACTTTAAACGTTGCCTGTTAAGTCATATGCATTTTTACACAATTGAAACCAGTTCCCAAGTGTCTTAAGATCCTTTGACATGTGAAAAGTTCTGAGGGAATCACTCACCTGATCCTTTTATCTTAAATGCTCGCTATATTATATATAACTACCCGACAACTACATATTGTCAATTGAAGTATTTAATAAATGCCAGGAAGATCGAGACACGGCTATGAAGCAATTGCACAATTGGACTTTGGGGTTTGTTATTATGTAAATTATCCATCCATCCATTTTCTAATCCATTTATCATCACAAGGGTCTCGGGCATGCTGGAACCTATCCAAGCTGTCTTTGGGCAGTTGGCGGGGTACACCCTGAACTGGTCGCCAGCCAATCGCAGGGCACACAGAGATGAACAACCATTCATGCTGACAATCACACCTAGGGAGAGTGACAATTTAGAGCAGGGGTGGCAAACTCATTTCACATTGTGGTCCACATTACAAAACATTTCATGAAGCACCTTAGATTTTGTTAGACAAATGTGCAATTTACTTTTATCATTCACATATATGCATTGCAACTGATCACACTGATTGTACAAAGGCACAAAACTTTAAGTAATTGGGATTGAAAAATATAGTAATGCACTTTAAGATTAAACGAGATTTATAAAGAAAGTAATTTTTCAACCATTTACACATGTGCATATAAAATCTAAATTTAATCCCTGCCTACACCTTACAAACTAAGGAGAGTGCTATTAAATGTGTAAAGAATAAAGTATTCACATGTCCTTGATAGCGTCTGCTGCGTTGGGTCTGTCTCAGCTCTCTGTCTTCTTCTCTGCTGTTGTCTTCTTCTCTGATCAAATCAATGATGTCTTCTACTGTGATCAAAACAGTGTGTCCCCTAGCGGATATTCCATAAATGGCACCTTATTAAAAATATTAATTCCGTGTCTTTTATGCATTTTTTCACTTTTAATTATCCCGCGGGCCTGCTGGAACCTCCTTGGGGGCCGGTTCCGACCCGCGGGCCATATGTTTGACACAGCTGATTTATAGTGTTCCATTAGCCTGCCATGCATGTCTTTGGAATGTGAGAGGAAACCGGGATTCCCGGAGAAAGCCCACACAAGCAAAAGCAGAACATGCAACCTCCACACAGGAAGGCTGGAGCCCTGCACCTCTGCATTGTGAGGCAGACGCTAACCATGTTGCCTCGCCTCATGTAAATTAGTCCCAGAGAATTGGGCAGACAACAATGGGCAGAGGAACGTTAATGTGTTTCCTTCATTTCACACTCGGTGGGTGGGCAAACCCCAACTATTTTTGTACAAGCTATTAAAAAATTACTTTTACTTGATACAGATGTTTGAAATCCCATCATTTCCGATTGTAAACGTATTAAAATCCAAGACAATGGAATGGATTGTATTCAGAGGTTCAATTGTTGTCAAAAGTTGCCAATTTACTGTAATTATAACAAAATGTACAGTACATGCCAAATGTTTCCATCTGTTGTGTGTTTTCTGCTCCTTTACGAGTTCATCTTCTGTTTACCAAACCGCTACTGCCCCCCAAAACTTGAGAACAGTCTACATCTAAATTGCATGTCTTCAATGGTGGTCGGTGACTATGCCTATGTATAACCATAACTACAAGGTGTATAAAACAAACACATCACAGAGCAACAAGAAGGGATTAATTCAGTTCAAAATAGGTGGCACATTGCTGAGGTAGGATTTTGGATTATGTGACCAGGGTGAGCGCACTTCACAATAGAATACTAATTTGTTTCTGTTCAACTATTGGCCCAAAGAAAATCTAAAAGTAGCAAAACAAGAAAAAAAAACAAACAAACAAAGCAACAAAGAATTACATTTACTTGCGAAGTGTATTGCAGTAATTACACTAAAACACTGAACACCTACAATGTGACATCGCTGCTGTAACGCAGTTATGATTGAAATTCATCTCCATTTCTGTATTTACAGTGTCTGAAAATCCAGCCAATGACAAAAAAAGTAATATTTTACGTAAATAGACTACTTGGTAAAGTGTTCCTGCCAACACTGAGAAGAGGGTAAATAGCGGCAGCAAACTAAACAGAGCTTTAAAAAAAAAAAAAAAAAAGATGACGAAATCCCATCTAGTCCTTGACGAACACGTGCCTACACAACACGTTTGTTTGGTTGCCAAGCTAAATTTGATTTACACCCTTGTCTATTGGTACATCCGACCACACAGTAAGATATGACAATTTTAGAAGATAATTTCTTATACAAATAGACACAGAACCTTACACTTTACAGGAGTTTCAGCCGGTGCAAATGGTTATTTTGCCATATGTCGTGGCGGAGGGGGCGTTCCTACGAAGGCTGTGACGTAACGTGCATCAAATGAATAATCTGCCTCGCTTTTGTCTGGCTCTACTGACCCCTAGTGTCAGTAAGAGAGACTTGCTGCTTCTTTCCGAATATTAATGTGTGCATAATGCATTTTATGGACCGTATTAGCGCCCACTCATCAAAAGCACGCCTGAATATAGTGAGGAGAGAATAGTCACGTGGAGACCATACACGAGGAAACTATCATGTAATTTGTTTTCGCCGAATTACTTTTTTTTTTTTACTGTAGCATTTCCTTCCTGTTCTGGGATGTGTTTAATTGTTCCCTTCGTTTTGTATGGACGGTGCTATGAGGATTCAGACAGAAGCTGACCAGCTCGCTGTAGCATCACATTTGCTGTAGTCATACAAGTGGTGGTAATACTCTTTATTGTTCCCGCAAGGAAATTACTTCACATTCTCCTGTTCGTTTTCTGTACACCCAATAAAGCGCAAGAAATTCATGCTACCACTTCAAAAAATTGAACATGAACTTTGTCCATTACTGCACCCTTCAAAAAGTTTAAGTGGAGGGTAGTGCAAAGACTTACTGACTGTGGCATTTATTTGAATTCTTCACATACATTAAACCACATGTCCAAAAATATTAAGATTTAGAAAAAAAAATGTAGTTCACAATGAAAATATAATACAACAAAAGAAAATCCTTCAGCAATGCTTACAACATGGTGAACTAAAGATGTTTTTATACAGACTTGGGTTGGTATGTTACACAACTGAAGCACATCACATATACGCATGCAGGGGAAACGTCCTGTCCACACTCTGCTTGGAGTGTGAAAGAAGCACCCGGAGTGATTCTTCACATGCCTGCAGCAGAGCATTTTGACACGAATCAACGGAACCCTTGTACCTCTTTCATTGCTACAAAAGTACAGTGAAAACCAAAGTTGATGTAATTCTGCTTTGTGACTGCAATTTCTTTGACTCAAGCCAACAAATGTAAACTATATAATTGAGCCTTGTAGTGTTGAAAAACAAGATGGAGTGACTGAAGCATTCAAGTGGCTCAAAAACAACCAATACAGTTAATTTCTGAATAGTAAGTGTTCCTGGGAAGATCGTCAACCCCGAAAAAAAACAACTCACAAATCTTCTCTCAATCTAGATTTTTGGAGGAACAATTAAAATTGAGCGCTTGAATTGATAAAGATGAAATCCTAAACACTGGCAAGCTACTCAAAGGGTTGGAAATAAAAGGGGATTAAGTTGACTGCCTCAAACTTCCATATGTTAGGGCACACCAAACCATAGGAGCAAGTAGAAAACTAAATTGATGGTGGTTATTTCCAATCATTTTAAGGTGTATTTGTACTTTATTTTGAAGGGACACAAATGGGCCCATTATGTGCCTAGCATGTCGTTTTATAGTCAGCAAAACTATGACTATATACAGATGAATGTAGGTTGTCTTCACAACTGCCTTTCTTTAAAACTATAAGCGGTACTGTTAATGTTTTTTGCAGGAAAACCATGACATAAAATAGTCACTGTGCTAGTTTATTTGTCTAATGGCAGTCATTAGGTAGTATGGATGCATTTGTGGTAAGAAGCCCATCAAATTCTGCGACCAGTCCTCTTAATCTATGCTGCTCCCACATTTGAAGGGGGGGAAAGGAAGGGGGAAAAAAGAGAGAGAGAGAGAGAGAGAGAGAGAGAGAGAGAGAGAGAGAGAGAGAGAGAGAGAGAGAGAGAAATAAAACCTGCTTTGCTTTTTTACGTTAATAGTTTTGACAAAATTGTTTCAAACTGAAAAAAAGGAAATTGGTGTTCATATCAGATGAACAAATATGCTTTTAGATCAGTAAAAATAAAATAAAATAAAATAAGACTGTCCAAGATGAAAGAGAGAGGAAAATAAATAGTTGTTATTTATACTGTGTTACGGGTCCCCCTTGAATGCGTGTATGAAGTCTGGTTTTTGAGCGAGTGAATCAACCCAGCAGCAGCCCCGACAGGGCATTCAAGTCTCTCATGTACGGGTTGTCAATGAGGATGCGGTCGATCTGTTGCTTCTGGTCTGGGAAAATCGCGCACAGCTGATTCTTCAGCTGGGACGTCTCCCCCGGCGAACGCTGGGGAGGGGGCGACGGCGAGGGAGAGGCGTTGCGGCGGCGGCCCGGGTGGGGCCACTGCACGCTCGGGTGGGTAACATGGGAAGAGGGGGGCTGAGGAGTAACGGCGGGAGTCCATGGAGCGGAGTGGAGGGCCTGCACATAGACTGGATGCTGCTGGTTGGTGGATGGACGCAAGTCTGGGGGTCTCAGAGGGGGAGGGGTCAAAGGAAGATGCCTGGATGGTCAGGGAAGGAGAAAATGTGTAAAACAGAGATGTCCAAACCTTTTACACTGAGGGCCACATACGGGAAAATGGAGAGGAGGCGACGGCAACGTGCATTTATGGAACATGCAAAAGCCAAATTCAATACGCTGTTGGGCAAGCTATGCAAAGCTAAACTGGTATTACAGTCCTGCGATTTATGCTATTGCTGATTTATTATATTTATTCTACAAATATATTGCTAATGCTACATTTCATATTGCACTTATATTGAACTGTGTACAGTTCTTTTCTGAAACATTTATTTTGTGCAATGAAACACTTTGTTTTTTTTCATCCCCCCCAATTTTGCCACTGTAGACTGCAAATTTCCCCAGTGTGGGACAAATAAATGTTATCTTATCTTATTTCTGAAAATACATCACGGGGGGAAAGAAAAAAGGGTGATCTCTTGTAGCATTCAACTTGAAACGTTTTTTTAAAAAATAATTACTTGTGTTTGCTGCGGGGCTCGATCATTATCAGTCGTGCATTTATGTGGGATGACTGCATAGTCCACATTTATAACGGCAAATCATTTTGTGTGTGGTCAACACAGAGATTGGCTGAGCCACAGACTATGTGATTGTGATGAGAAATAAACCAACATAAAATTGGCCTCGGTCTGATGTTCTCACTGTTGCTGGACACAAACAAAGAAGCAATGGGTTGTGTTTAGAATTTGTAGAATGTGTCATTCACCAATAAAGGACAAGATAAGACTTCCATGGCTTCATCTGCTATTACTCTTTTTGTTAATGTGTGTGGGGTGCCAGGTTGGTTATCTGGCGAATATCTCACACAAGGATTTTTTTTTCTTCATCACGTGTGGGGGCATTTTAAAATCGGTTCAGATGTTCCGATTAAGGGAGCACACACCTGTTCATTTTAGAAAGGAAAATGTCCAGATGAGGTCCATTTTTACCCAAAGGGTCATCAGGGATCATGAAGTGGTCCTCCACAAAAGTAAACTGCAGTAACCTGTGTAAATAACAATATTCAAAATAATAATAATAATGATAATATTTGAATTTTACACTGGACCCGGCACTCAAATGACCACTTGAGTCGTGTGATATTTGAGCATATGACCAATCACCTCTCTTGAATGATCCGGCGCCAAGTGTCCGAAGAGTTGACAAAGTCTCTCAGGTTGTCATTGGTTACAATGATGCCATCTGTTTTTTCAGCTAAGTGGAGCAGGAATCTAATGGAGAATGCAAGTATTCAACATTAAAATTTCCCTTTGTCAGTGGAGACAATTTTTGAATATATTATCATATATCTTATTCATCTTTACTACTCATACAGTTGTATGAGTGTCGAGAATGAGAAATACGTATGCATGCATAAAAATGTTATTTCCTGCTTTAAATTAACATAAAGGGGAAGTCAAGACACGTTTTTTTTTTTTTTTTTAACAATATGCTCTGTGCGCCCCACTTCTGGTTCTGATTAATATTGCATTTGTGGAACATGAATTATTCAGCAAAAATCACTGATTTGTATCCAACTCAGGGGGTGGACATTTTGTCACTTGCTGTTGACTGCAAATGACATCATAGTAGTCAGGTAACAGCCAATCACGGCTCACCTGTTTTCTGCGTTTGAGCCCTGATTGGTTGTAACCTGAGCCCTTGGGCACTCATGATGACATTTTCAGTCAAAACCAAGTGCAAAATGGTGACTGACTTTCATCTGGCTGCATTGACTGAAGTCCATGATTCAACTTATGTATTGTTTTGAATTGTTTTAAAATGTTATAATGCACGAAAACAATGTAGTCTGAGAAAATACCAATCATCATGATATTGAATCGCAAATTACAGTCTAATCAATAATCGTGATATAAATCTAATCGTCACACAAGTATTGTGATTTGAATCAAATTGGGGGGTAATTGAATCATCCCACCCCTAATCGTGAAGTCCATTTTTGATTGGATTTTCCCTTTAAGTATATTCAACTAAATTCAAAACGGGAAGCGTGTGTTGTATGTGTGCACCTGTCATCATGCGAGGCTATCCTTTGGCCACAGACCTCTCGGGAGGGGGTGAAAGAAAGCAGCCGCAGGTCTTCTAGTTGATTTAAAAAATGTTGTTCTGCAAAAAAAAAAAAAAAAAAAAAAAAAAAAAAAAAAATTAAAAAAATACAACCACATCAATGAAAAATAGCACACTGGATCCTGAATCTATGTTTGGCAATTGTATTGTTTTATTTTGGTTCATCTTTGATTCCTATCAGATGTGTAAAAATTGAGAGACCAAAAAAGCGATCAGTCCATTCATTGATGTCAGCTTAAGGTTGTTGTCTGCTCATTCATACATGCTGCAAATGCCTTAAGTACCTGTTGTCAATGGGTCTCGCTTCTGGCGCCACTGAGGAACAAATACAGTGATCTCCCTGTGGCCCCGCCTCCAAAATGTCTCCACGGCGAGCGCTATCCCTCGACAGGAGAAGAACCGATTTAGGCCATGACTAAAGAGATGGGGACAAAAGCAAACAATGTTGTGATGATGACAACAAGGAACCAAAAATGCACACATGGATCAACTTGAAATAGTGTGTGGTATCTCTTTCCACTTTCTATGCATAATGCCCCCCTCAAAGTTGAGGGTGTGCTACAGCCTATCCAGACTAACTTTGGGCGAGAGGCGGCATACACCCTGACTTGATCGCCAGCCAGTATTAGGGCAAACAAATTGTGTATATATATCTATAGGTGCAGGGTTCAATTCCGGCTGCGGCCTGCCTGTGTGGAGTTTGCATGTTCTCCCTGTGCCTGTGTGGGTTTTCTCTGGGTACTCCGGTTTCCTCCCACATTCCAAAAACACGCATGGCAAGTTAATGGAACACTCTAAATTGTCCTTAGGTGTGAGTGTGAGCGTGGCTGGTTGTTCATTTATGTGTGCCCTGCGATTGGCTGGCAACCAGTTTGTGGTGTACCCTGCCTACTGCCTACTTCTTTCTGTCACTGTCTGACACTGGCAGGTTGATTTACAAATACACATTATTTTTCCAAAGCCAATATTATCCATGAAAATGAAATGGGAAAAAAAAGTGAAATTAGGTAAATTCATTTTTACAGAATCAGTGAGCTAGCAAATCACTGTTGTAATTACATCAGACTGTGTGGCAGTGCAGCAGTAGGGAATGGATGCTCTAGTTAATCCTGTTTTGTCTGCGTTGTTCAAGTGGACAACATCACTGGCAATGAATTGACATAATGAGCCTATTGGAGTTAGGGCCATCAAGTGAGAAAAGTCCATATCTCCACACATGAACTCACGCCATAGCCACATTGCTGCCATCTATGATGATGTGGCGCAGCTCCGGTAGCCCCGGTTCGTTGGGTAGCTTCAGTGTATACGGAGTCTTCAATGATTGGTGAAAACGAGCCAAACCGGTCACAGGTGGCGCCGGTGGGTTGCTTGGAGGAGGATTCCTGCCTCCGCCGCCGTGAAAGCCCATGTGGCCGAGGGTTTGGTAGGCAGAGAGCCGGCTTGTGGTAGGAGCCGACTGCAGGGGACAATCAAGACCTTTATATCATTCCAGCAGAACATTGTGGAAGAGAAAGTTGATGTACTATATCTTGAAATTTGTCATGACACAAAACAGGTTGAGCAAAGCCAAGAAAATGAGAAAACCATCACATTAATGAAATACCTACATTGGCACTGGAAGCCACAGAGGTGGTGCTGGCTGTCAGCCACTGGGGTGCACTGCGCAGTGCCGTCACAGTCTCGACTTTCACTGATCCACCTAGAGTCCGCGTCCCGCCTCTTGACAGGTGATCCCTATGTGTGACATTCCCGCCTCCCCGTGCCAGGTATTCTGTTCTGGATCCGGTCTGGGTGTCACCGTGTGTCATCGTAACCCTTGATGTCCGAGTATCTGCTGTTTTGCTGTTTGTCACGCCGACATCATCGTCATCGGAAATGGTAATGACCTCGTACTTCCCTGCACCTCCTTGCGCACTGGCGCTCCTCTTGATAGAACTGGTCTGTTTGGAAAGTTTTTCCAGGAAAGACGTAGCATTAAAGATCGTATATGTTACGATGCAAATATTAAAGGACTGTTCTAACAAACAGAATGGTTTGGCACCTTCCATTTTCGACAGCACTTGTCCTTGGCTTACGTGTTAAAAGTCTACATCAGCTGACATTGGGCGAAAGAGAATACACCTTGTGTACACATATTAACAACCATTCACACTCACACCCATGGACTTTTTGGAGTGTTCAATTAATGTAACCTGGATGGTTTCGGAATGTGGGAATGAGCCACACAAGCATGAAGACAACATGCAAACTACTCCAGAAGACCAGAGGCAAAAATTCAAACCCTGAACATCAGAAATGTAAGACACAAGTGTAAACCACAAGACATGATATATTTTTTTGCATTTCAATTGTCCAAAGTCGCATGTGGTATCTGTAAAAGCAACCTGTGCTATTACTGCACCCTTTTTTGGGGCTACAAAGGTACAATAGAGCGTGGACTAGAGTTTAATGGTGGCTTGATTAGGCCAGAGAATCACACCGGTGGCGCACATCCGAACGCCATCAGACAGACACTTTTACATGTCAAAACGCAGTTTTTGGAATTAAAAAAACTGCATTATATCAAATCGGGATTATATTGCTAATGCAATTCATAGTTTATCCCTATTAAAAATCCAGAGGATTAAGTCATACAAAAGATTGAGAGATGATCATTTCTTGTTGCAGACCATTTCAGTACATAGCACTGTTGCATTTCCGCTCTTTGGTGAATGTAAATAGCTAACAAAGGAAACGTTATCAGGCCCACATAATGAAAACACTAGAAAGATTCCCCTTTCCACGCGATAGTGTCTAACTGAGCCAAACCATGAACACTGTGGCTTAAAATGGATGTTACCTGTTGAGTGCTGGCTTCACTGCCACTGGACTGCCTCCGGTGGCCAAATCCATTACTACTCGCTCCATGATGATTAGGCTTAATATTCTCTTTGGACCTCCCAGACTCCCGCTCAACGGCTAGAGATGTCGTCGAGGAGGATGAGGCGGAGGACGAGCGCACATTGTTCAGTTGTTTGGTTTCTTTTACTCCTCTTTTTGTTTCCCCCTCAAAACTTTTCGTTTCGGCCACGATTTTCTCCAAAATGAGGAAGGTGTCTTCCATTTGACCCGTATCCTTGATGACACGCTCCACCACGTCCTGCTGGTAACCCATGGATCTGAAGGAAATTTGGTTTAAAAAAACAAAACAAAAAAAAAAACAAAAACAAAAAAACAACAACAACAAAAAAAAAACACACATTTGTACATGTATCTGAATTTAAAATGAATTGTGATCATTTTTACTACTGCGATGTTCACCTGAAGAAATTGACCAAACAACGGAGGTTAGTTTCTGGGCTGACTGCCTCGCTTTCTTCAGTGATACCATCACAAGGGTTCAGCATGATTGCACCTGTGACTGTGTTTGCTTTAGCTGAGGAGGAGGAGACTGTGCATGAAGCAGACGTGTTTTTGGATCGAAAACTACTACTGGCTGCGTGGCCTTCTCTGTCCCAGTGTCGCTCCCTGTCCCTCGACCTCTCCGGGGACTCCTCCCTCCGCTCCAGAGAATACTGTCTTTTAGTGTCCCGAGTTTCGCTCTCCGAAGAGCGTCGCTTGTGTGAAGGCCTGGTGCCATTGAACAGGATGGCCTCGGGACCCAAACCGATGCCTCCTCCTGCTTTTCCAGCGCCGTCGCCAAAAGGCGTCGTCCTTGTCCCTCTGTCTTCAAAGCTAGTATCTAAGATGCGAAAGGAGAGCTCCGTCACAGGAGTGCTACTCTGTGAGCGATCTTGCTCGAACTCTGCCATGCTTGGTTGTAGGTTCTGGTTCAGGAGAGTCTGAGAGACAACACAACATTCGGTTCTGGTTTAGCTTGGTCTGAAATACACAACATGTTCAATGTGTAAGATGTACACTGTCAAGCACTGTTTTCGCAAGTGTCTCATCTAGGGGACAGATTGTGATAATCAGACTATGTTCAAATATTTATGAGTAGTTTTGTTGTTTATTATTCACACTTGAACAGACAAGGAGATGAAAAACTTTGTTGACTTGGGTGTATAATAATGCTGTAGTGGCTGCTGAGAAAATGTCACATCACTTTCAAAAAGCGAACAATTTATAAACAAACACTAAAGAATCTTTATCCTCGCCGGAGTTTTCAAAACTCTCCATTTTTAAGGAGTAAAGGAAAGGTAAGGCTAAAATCTATGTTTTTGAAATTACTTATACAGGTATTCTTCATTGTAATACCTCGAGGGGAAATGGAAATGACAAATTACACTCTGCTGTACATACGTGTTGCACAGATCACACACATGCAAGGAGAGCTGTCAGACTCAAAAGGGGTGTGCGAAGGCATCTTGACAATAGTCAGAAAGCAGACTAAAATCTCAACTTGTTGACATTTTATATTTTGTCCGCGGAGGGACTTAAGACGTAACCCTCCAGTTGTAATGTCCAAGTTCTTGCAGATATGAGCTACTGCCATCCAATTTTTTTTCTGTTCCTATCATCTTCTGTGATTTATTAAGGTACATTTTATGCTTTACAGCCACCCTGCGATTGGCTGGCAACCAGTTCAGGGTGTTCCCCGCCTACTGCCCAATGACAGCTGGGATAGCTCAAGCACGCCCCCGACCCTTGTGAGGCTAAGCGGATTAGAAAATCGATGGATGTATTTCAGCCCCAATTTACCCATGTTCAGCCATTTTTGTCTTGAACTTATGAAAATAGCCAAGTAACTTTTACATCATAGAAGGCGGGCCCCAACTTTCTAGTTTCTACAGAGAGAGGAAACAGATGGCGAGAAAACCCCATAAAACAGGCCCCGGGAAATCACTTGATTGGTGGAAGGGGCAGCAGGGGGGGCCCCCAGCCTTGTTTTGTTCCCCGAGGGGAGCCTCATCGTATCAAACTTTGAAAGTCCCGACTGTAAAGGATGTCAAACACAGACTTGATACAAATATTTCCTGTTCAGAATTTTGCAATACACAAAAGCTGTCATTTTCACTTCATTTGTATCTTGAAAGCTGCACAACACTGAGGTGAAAATACTGATGTCATTCTTGTTACTTTAAATTTTTTTCCCTCTCCCCAAACATCAATGTTGAAGAAATACTCTTCTTGAATTGATTTAATTTCATGACATTTAGTCTTGACTTGTCAAGACTTTCTTCAGAAGGTGCATTTCCTGGATCTGTGAACCTGTTATACGAAAAGAGCCATTGCAAACCACAGCAACTAAAGCCCGACGCACACAGTGCGATGCGACTGAACTGAAAATGAGGGCTGCAGCCAATTAATATTTTTAGAATGAATTATATGATCTACTAGTCAATCAATTCATCAAATAACAGCAAAAAATCTATTTAGCATTAGTTTATTGCGAAAATATTTTCGCAGATGGCTTGGTATTGTTTAATAATTTAACAAAATCAAATAAACAACAATTAAGCAATACCACACAAGGACTGATGTACTCGCATAACATTTGGAAATCGGGCAACGACTTTGGTACTGATTAAAGTGAAGTGCTCCAGGTTTGACACGCACTTCTGGCACAAAAGAAATTTTAAATATGATCGAAAAACATATTGTGCGGTGCACACTGTACTGGTACAGCTTGATGGCGGCAGGCTATTTACCCAGAGACATTACTTTTGTTGCTTAAGGACTTTGCCACACAGTTCACCTGCGATTCAAATATTCATCCGGCGCAAAAATAGTTGAAGACAGTTGGCCTCTCATTAAAAACAAATTGTTCAACCCTGCCCACTTCATGACCCTTCAGTCACATCACTCGGTTTTAATGAATTTTCTAGGAGGGGGTCCCCCTCTACTTTCATCCCTGTCATCTATTAGTGTGACTACTGCATTGCTTTTTCAGCGGATCTTGTAAGTATGTGGAAGTCGATAAAAACACAACGATTGCCTGCTTTTAAGTATATGATGATAAAAAAAAAAAACACAAACCGTTGAGGGTGTGTGCAAGCTGGTTGGACTGTGAGCCAGTCCGAGTAATTCTTCTTTCAGCGCACAGGGCAGTAGAAGGAGCTCCATTGTGTATTTGTCATCCCGTTCCTCCACAAAGGACTTGAACGCTCGCTTCACTGCCTGCTCTCTGTCACTCAGTAGACTTCGCTTTTCCTGAATAAAGCAGACAAAGAGGCAGAACTTTGAAAATGCCGAACAGTAATTTTGACTTGAAATCATCTCGCTCATTAGAATTGCATCAGTTCATCCTAAGTGAGCGGTGTATGAACATTACTTTATTGTTTAAAAAAAAAAAAAAAACACATTTGGAATACACAGCCGATGGTTGTACATTAATCTCACCTGGAAAAGTGCCACAAACTGCTGAACTCTGCTCTGCGCCATCACGACAGGCTCAGTGCGGCCCAACAAGCGCAGACGTCCTGGCTCAGGAACCAAAACCTCAGCACTTGTGTCCCGTATGAGTCTGTCCAGGAACAGGCCCCGGGCTCCGGCAAAGATACAGTGCATGTCCACTGGATAACGTTCTTCTTTCTGCAGCTCTGGGTCACACAGCCCCCTCACATACTCCTGAAAAACAAGAAAAAAAACGACATTAAGGGAGACGATTATGCATGCACAATTCCAAACAGCTGCCAGATGTCTTCATGAAAATGTCTTTTATAGTCTTCCATCCAATTGTACACAAAGGACAGGTCTCCAGACTGATCCTAAATGGTCATATTTGGCTATTAAAATATGAGACGGTGCAAGTAAAATTTTCATCCACTTGAGCAAGTGCAACCGATAAATCTAGTGACTTTTTTTTTTTAATTGCCGAGACACTTGTTGCACACTTATGATCAAAAGACCAAAGCAATGCCAGCAGAAACAGGATGTGGTGATGAAGCGAGAAAAAAGCAGCAGCATGACCACAGAATAGAACAAGGGCAGCAATGCAAAGTGATGCTTTGTCACCAGATTATTTTGTTCAACAGTAAGCGGACAACTGCGTGCTAAAGATTAGGCCAAACAAAAAAGATAGTGTGTTTCCGGTAACATGAAATTTCAGCATAGGGTCGGTAGGTTGGACAAAGTTTTTTTTTTTATCTTTTTTTTCCATCAAAAATTTAAACAAAATAACCATAAAACATAAAACAAGAAGAGCGGCCGGCGCCGCCACCACCTATTTAGTTTTCTCCCCGCTCCGGACTCGGGAACCCGGGGCGCGCCGCCGCCTCTTCCGCCCTCAGTTTTTACTCGGCCCGTGGTGTTCATCAAATAGTTCGCTGAATTTTTTCGATACATCAATGGATGCTATTTTCTTAATATTATGGTGCGAGCATGCGACTGTAACACAGAAAACGTGGTTTAAACTGTCGTCGGAGATCACGGCCGCCGCCATGTTTCAATGTTGTTGACAGACAACAGGGCAAACGACGCACGCGCTCAACGTGAATATCGCGAGAGTTTGCACCGATGTAAACCCTCTACACAAAAATGTAGAGGGTTGTTTGAAAAAAATGCCAACCACAAAGTTTTTTTTCCACGGAGAAATTCTCAGTTGGTCGGGTTACCGGAAACACACTACTTTTTTTTCTACGCCTTACTTTATACATCAAAACTGACACTTATCAGCACCGTGTTGTTAGCTTCATAGCACATCACTCGGAATCGGGCATACGACTGGTAACATCGATGCTTTGCTAATAATGGTGACTGATCAAGCTTGTTATTTGACAGATGATTAGGCGTAGAAAAAAAAGTAGTGTGTTTCCGGTAACCCGACCGACCGAGAATTTCTAGGTCGAAAAAAAACTTTACGGTTGGTATTTTTTTCAAACAACCCTCTACATTTTTTGTGTAGAGGGTTTGCATCGGTGCAAACTCTCGCGATATTCACGTTGAGCGCGTGCGTCGTTTGCCCTGTCGTCT